GTTTTAATAGACCGGTAACGACCGCACAGAGTAGCATTATAACAGAACTTTCAAATGTATCTAGTATGATAAAACAGCGCTGCTTTACCTCACATACTCACGACCGGAAGCAGCGGAAGCGGTCGACTGTGGCATAATAAAAGCTCAGCTGATTTTGAACCGTATGTCGCACTCGTTCAGCGGCCTCATTTCGCTTCGACGGCTTTCAGCCTCACCCTGCTTCATTCTACTACGTTAAATATATTTGTAATTACAAATTTGTAATGATGTAGCAGGTCTGAATGAGATTGTCTGAACCTCGCATATGTCATAGACAACAAGTGATTCATATCATAGGAAATACAAGTTTTTTTTAAAACAAAACAAATTTTGATTAAAGATCGAGGCCAAAGAAAGATGTTCACAGTAAGACAAGTAACATGCTATAAGAAAATTAATTGGGTCAGTTTTGATTTTAGGCAGACCTTAAGAATGCAACATGATACATAAATCACAATATAAGAATGACATCTTACCCTCACTTGACTTAATAAATGTCACATTACTATTCATAACAGTTAAATTGAACAGATGCTTTAGTGCCAAGCAGCTTCACCATTTGCATGTTATTAATGTGTTTTTTTGTGAATTGTTGTAAAGGAAGAAATACATTTTACCATTTAATCCACCAAAACAAATTTGTGAGAAGCAAAATAAAGATTTTTTTCTTCATTTTTTGACAACTTCAGTTTTAGCCATAGATTGCCATGCAATGAAATGATTTCCTTGAAACTGCTTTGCATCATGTACCACTTTGTGTAAAATAGCCGCAGTTCTACGGTTAACATTGTGTTTTCTGACTTGTTATAATGTTTTCTGAATTGTTGTTGTGCTTTCTGAATTGTCATTTTGTTTTTTAGAGTTGCATTTGCGTTTGTAATTTGTTATTTTGTTTTCGGAATTGTGATTTGCTTTGCACTTCTCGGCCACCGTACAGTTCACTAGAGCTCCCATTCCACTCACTCCCTCACTTCAAACTTGCAGCAGGTTCATTAGTCATGATTATATAGGGGAAATGGATACAAATAAATGAAATTAATAATTAAATGCTTGAATGTTTAAACAATTTTTAAAAAGTTATTTTTAAACAAATTCACTTTTTATTTTTTTACATTTTAATGCAAAAATAAAACTGAATAATATTAAAACAAAAATATAAATTATAAATGCTTCAATAGCATGTTTTTTGTTTGTTTGTTTGTTTGTTTGTTTGTTTTCTTTCTTTTTCCCTCCTTCTGTAATATGGCATGGTGGGCCAAATCAAAGGTCCCTGGTTTGG